ATATATATTACACATTTCTTAAAATGAAACAAATTCTTTGGCACTTGTATTAAAAAACGTAGCCTTAATGCCGACTCGTGTGTAACTTTTTTTTTTTTCTGCCAAAACATAATTCTTTTGATTTTCTTTTAATTCTTTTTTTTTCACCCTAAATCAAATTTTAATTAAGAGATAATGTAACTGGGAGTACGAATTTGAAATAGTTGAAAAAATTTTACTTTCGATTATTATAAATATTTTTTTAATTATAATATATTTTTATTATATTTATAAAAAATATAAATTAAAAAATCTTATTCTTTTAGCCTCAAAAATGTAAAATAATAAAAAAATATGTCAAATTCTTTCACGAATAAATTTCAGAAGAAATCAATTGTTGATAGTCCCCTAGTATTTTTCCAGATTTTAATTCTTTTTTTGTAAATTACCCACAAATTAAATCTTCGCCTCAAATAATAAAAAACGTTACCTGTCCGAAAAAGCAGATGTTATGACGTGTCAAAGATTCGCATGTCGAATTTGTCAATCACATGCATACGGAGTGCCATTATTGGTACTACTACTGTAAAAATAAATAAAATTATGCTATAGCATATATAGAGGGGGCCCGGTGGGCGAGTGCGCAGGTTTGGGGCGCATTTTAGCGGAAAAAAGAAGCTGTGGGCCAAAATAAAGAAGGAAATAAAGAGTGGGGCCCTGACTCGCACTACAAAGTGCCATAGGTGGAGGGCGGCGCGGCTTACTTCACCTTATCGTCACGCGCGATCCGCAAGGTAATCTCTCGGTTAATGGGCCTTTTGTTTTTTGCTTTGTTTTTCTTACTTTTAAATAATTTTCTGAAAAATATATTTTGTAAAAATATAGAATTTCATTTTATTTTTATTTTGTGGGTTTTGTTTAGAAGTCAACTACCATTCTGTTGTTATAAACGGTGGGTAAATATAATAATTCGTATCTAGTATTTTTTATTTTTTAAGAGAAATTATTTAATTTATTATAAATATAATTTTTAAAGTTTATAATTAAGATTAATAGGATGATATTTATAAAGTATATTAAAATAATATAAAAATTAATTAAAATTTTATTCATGTCCGTCTCTTAATTATGCTTTTGAAATTAAAAAACTTCATTGATTTGTGTTAAAAATTAATGCTTATTTTAAATAACATACTTCAAATAATTTAAGAAGAATCAAATGCTAATTTCTTTGTATACAAAATATAGTACAAGTTGATTGATTTAATTTATTAATATTATAAAATCATTATCTACATAGGTTAATTAGTTGATAAGAAAATGAGTCGACTATAATTCAATTTTTATAAAGAATAGATTAAAAATAAAATTTTAAATAAATAAAATTAACGTGAAAAAATATATATTTTTATAATGTAGACACCTTTAAATAACCCTAGTATAAAAATAACTGTTGTAAAATAATGAACTAATTAATGTACACATAAGGAAAGAATTAACTTGCTAAATGTGAAAACCCTGTTAACAAATCTTTTTGGAAAATATTAAGTAACAAGTTCACATCGGCTTGGGTCTATATTGACTGATAGGCATGAAAATGAATGGCAACTGGCTCCTCTCCAGGGGATCTGGTTGCATCCAAACAGTCCCTTACTCGGTTAAGTAAGTTGAAGGTGTTGGAAATGATCGTGTTTTCAAAATAAAGTAAAATTTTGCATGGATTTGCAAAGGGCCAATCCTCAAGAAACAAAGTAAGGGTGGTGGGTTGGGGAGAGGCAGTGATTTGGTTAGCATTTCGATGGAGCTGTAAATGCCAATAGGCTGGCTGGGGCTGGGCTCCCACAGTGTTGAAAAACTGGAGAAACTTGGGGGGTGGCCAAAATAGGAGAAGATCATGGGGGATTTTTTTGGCTTATTTGGGTAACTACTGTGAGAGAAGCCTTGACAACTAGAAAAAAGAAAGCATGGTATTGGGTAATTGAAATGAAAGACATAAAAGAAAAGAAAGACCTAAGCATGCAGATTGATGAGATGATTTGATGTAAAGCCTGTCCACAATCTCAAAATCCGAGCATGACGCGTCCAAATCTCATATCATCAACCTCTTCTTTCTCATTGGTGATGGATGGATGGGATTGCTTGAATTGATGCATGCATGGTAATCTAATCATTTCATGAGTTGAAATTCCAATCCACCGAAATAAAAAAACCACATCCAAAAGTAAAACCCATTTTTTAAAATTCAAAAACTAAAATATCCCTTTTTAATTTTTAAGACAAAACCTTTTTTTTATTAAATACATTGGGAAAAAACAAATCATAATCTAATAATTATATATAAATTAAAATTTATAATTAATAAGTTAAAATCTAATTATTTGAAATTCAAACTTGAATTTATAATGTAAAAATGTTAGAAAAAATTTGAGATACTAATAACTTCTGTCAACTTAATAAACTAGTTTCAAGTTTTGTTAAAAGTCCTAAATGCTAAAATTGAACTCTTTTTTTGATAATTTAAAGTAGTAGTTGATTTCAGGGTTAAATCAAGATAAAATATTTCATTATTTGTGAAGTGAAAAAATAAAATCAAAAGTAAAAAACGAAGAAAAATCAAATAGGGACAGAAGCAAGGAGCCTGTACATATATGAAATGTCCTCTAGCTGTAATATCAACAAGTCTATTTCACCAACAACTCTCAGCTTTTTCTAATTTCTCTTTATTCGCTTTTATTTTAGGAACTTGTCTACATTCAATAAATCTTTTTTTTTGTTTGATTATGCGGTTTTCAGTGTAGATATGGCAAAGAAGGCTGAGAATTGGGATTTCTTTGGGCACAATTTTTTTTTTCTGAATTTTTAATGAAAATTATAATATAAAAATCAAATCCCATTGATTTTGATAGGATTTCTGCTATTGAAAGATATGGGCATTGGATATTATATCTTTTTTGTAATATTAGAAAATTTATGAGATTTTCAATCTGATATATATACAACAGAATGAACGATAAACTGGATCAATCAAAAACCATGAAAGATAATTCATTAGTTGCAGAATCATACTGTGTCTTGCAATCTCTTCATTGTTACAGTAGTTGGAAAATGAAAGTTCTCATTATGTCAAAAACAAAAATAAATAAATAATGATTTTGCAGGAGGACCATCATCTGAATAGTCTATGTTATAAACAACTCATAGTGAAGTACTCCTATGATTTGAGGATCAGAAAGCCTTACTGTTTAATTTTGTCCTTTTTAAACGTTTTTATAATATCAGCATTGCTTCTACAGTTTTATTTCATTCTTAGCACTGGTTTGGGAGGGCCGACAAATGGGTTGCCCGTTGTCTCAGACACCACACGAATTCTTAGAGGTCGTCCAATATAATTATAAAGCAAAGCAATCGAAAATAAATATATTTTATTATATTTTATTATTATTTATTAATTAAAAATTTTAATATTATTTATTAAATTTATTCATAAACAGTATGTTTGTTTATTATTTTTATTTAAATTTAAAATATATTTTAAAATATTAAACTATAAAAAACACTGATTCACTCTTTCGCCCAAAAAAACAATCCGGATTCAGTTCATATATAAACCTTTACATATAAATATTACTAATATTATCCTATGGCAGCCAAATATATAAAATATAAATATTAAGTCTTTTTTCTTTTTACGAATGGAATGACAATTTATTTATTTAATTCATTGAATTGTGCATTTGATATGAATTCTCTGGCAATGAAGCTAAGTTTAAATGATTTTTCCCATCCTTTATGGATGTCCATACTTCGGTCTGAAAATTTTCAGAAACATTTTATTACTTTTTTTTTCTTTTATTTTGCCTAGCTATGAATGTCACCTAACCCAGTACTCGGCATTCAATACAGAACAAAAATTAAAAAGAAAAAAGCCCTATAAAAATAAAAGCAAATTCACATTTTGTATTATTGTATATATATCAAAAAAAAATGAAAAAAAAAAAAGAAGCCCCAAACCCATTTGGCCATTTCATAGCTACAAGGGCACCTAGAAGAAAATGCAAGGAAGGGGGTAAAAAAGGAAATCTCCTTTGGCACCTTGCTTTTTGCTTGCTTCCTGTGGAAATTTTTTTGTCTTATTTGTCAAACTGTGATTGTACCTTCAATAGCATAAATATGTCAAGTAGCAAATTTTTTTTAAAAAATTATTAATTGTGAAAATAACTAGCAAAAGTTTTACTGTGGAAATAGTGAATCCTCAGTTTGATTGGAATTTCTGGATGCTAAAATGGCCGCCCAAACCATGGCTTTTTCACTTCTGGCTTAGGGTCACGCAAATGAACACAAAAAAAAAACTAAAACAAGTGGCCATCCTTGAATCCAAACAAACATATAAAAAACCCTAAGTAAAGAATAATAAAAACAATTCTAAATCCTTATAATCCATTAACATTAGGCCTTTTGAAATAAGGTAATCTTTATACAAACACATCATAAACTCAAGGTATGTTTAAGGATCCAAAGAAAAAAGTTACCCAGGAGTAATATTTTTAAAATTTAAAGTTTAATATAACTAATTTATATAATTATTTTTAAAAAATATTTAATAAATTTAAAATTTAAATTTTAATATTGATATTGAATTTTTGAATATGATGAAAATAGTAAATTAATAAAAAATATATTTTAATATAAAATCTAATTAATGTCTAAAATACCCATTAATTGAATTTTTAAAATAAAATTACTCAATGTAATTGTATGTTGATTAATGTTACTCTTTTTTAAGTTAATCGAAGAGCAAGTACAAGGATGGGAAGGTGTTGGTTTTTGTTGATGAAAGAGAAAGGAAAGGAGGAGAAAGATTGAGGGAAGAGGAGAAGGTGGCGTGTGATAACAATGTCTGTGTCAAGTTGATAATTTTAATCTTGTACTGTGCTGACAAGAGAGATATGAAACAGCTTTATCGATCCATGGTGAAAAATCTCATCTCCTCTCAGCTTCCTTCCATCTCTCTCCCCTTTTCCTCTCATAAAAACCAAAGGACTTTCTCTCCTAAAAACTACTTTCTGTTCCCTTCCTTTCATTTTCTTCGCTGACAGAGAATACCTGCACACCTTCTCACGCACGCACGCATACTCAAAACAGAACCCACCCCGGAGCCCACTCCCCCCTATCCATCACCCGTCTCTCTCTCTCTCTTTCATAATCCATAGCTCTCTCTCTTCGGGAAGAAAGAGAAAGGAAAAGAGAAAGATTTCGGAACAGGACAGTGCAGAGAAAAAACACAGAATTTTTCAGCTCCACATCATCCTCCACCATATTATATATTTTTTCCATTTTTTCTTCTGTCGCTTGATTCATCAAATCCCCCCCTCCCATTGACACCCCAATATAACATCCCCTCTTCACTCCTTGGCTCATCAAACTCAAACCCTTTTTTCTTTGCTTCATCTTGCTCAACTTTAGTTTTGAATTTTAGGGTTTTAAGTTGTCTACTTCAAGCTTTTTTACTTTGACGTTCAAAAGGGTTTACTTTTTGGTGTTCAACATGGATAGTTACCATCATTTTGACAACGGTGATACTTATTTACCTCCTGGTTTTCGTTTCCATCCAACTGATGAAGAGCTTATTACTTACTATCTGTTAAAAAAAGTTCTTGATGGTAGCTTTACTGGTAGAGCTATAGCTGAAGTTGACCTTAACAAGTGTGAGCCGTGGGAACTTCCTGGTGAGTAATCATCAACATTTTTTACGACTACCCTTTTCTTTGTTAGACATAAATTATTGTAATAACAAAGTTAATAACTCTTTTTTGTTGATGGAATATGGCAGAGAAGGCGAAGATGGGAGAGAAAGAGTGGTACTTTTTTAGTTTGAGAGATAGGAAATACCCCACTGGGTTGAGAACTAACCGAGCTACTGAAGCTGGTTATTGGAAGGCTACTGGGAAAGATAGGGAGATTTATAGCTCAAAGACTTGTGCACTTGTTGGAATGAAGAAAACTCTTGTTTTTTATAGAGGAAGAGCCCCAAAAGGTGAAAAGAGCAACTGGGTCATGCATGAATATCGCCTTGAAGGCAAATTTGCTTACCATTTTCTCTCCAGAAGTTCCAAGGTCTCTCTGATCTCCTCTCTCTTCACATCATTGCTTCTTTTGTTTGATAATCTGTTAGGGTTGTATCCAACTCAATGAGGTCTAAACTTGATCATCTAATATATGAAGTTTTTAATGAACCTGACCCGGAACAATGTTTTCTAAACGAGGTTTGGGGTGGAATCTTTGATAAAATGAGGTTAGGCTTGTGTTCATATCTTGTTTATTGGTCAATCCGTGGTCCATTTGGTAACCGTACCCGTACTATTTTGATTCACTTTTGCTTCTTAGAGAGCTGAAATTTTTTAAAGCAATGGTGTCTGTATTGTAGTAAGTTGATGGTAGTTATGGTTTTGCTTACAAATGCAAATTATTAATGTTTCTGTATGCTATTTTTTTTAATCTAAGGAGATGAAAAAAGGTATGTTGGGAAATCTTAATAGCATTTGCACTGCCTTGCAGACAATGGAAGAGCTTTTGTCTTTCATTGGGATTTAAATGCCCACAATTTCTGCATCATTATTCCATAAAGCAATTATACTACCTATTTTAAATTGTAAATTTCATTATTTTGCACTCATTCCAATGGTAAATCCAATCCCATTTCTCATTACTGCTCAATCTTAGATGTTACAGTAATATTGTCTGTTAAAGCAATGGTTCTTCTTTGAACAATGAACTGAAACTCACTAATCTTTGTTAAAAGCGTTGTTCTATTACTGTTCTTTTTGCCTGTACTCCATGAGCTGTTCAGCTTTATTTTTCAGGTTAACACTGAAATGCAAAGATCTAACAGTAATATTATAGCTTAAAAGTGTTTTAATCATTTGGACTTTTAGCAATGAACTAAATCTCTAATCTGTCTGTTAAAAGCAAATGGTATCTTTCTATTTATGTCTTTACACTCCAATGGCTTTTCCAGCAACTTTTTTCATATTACTATTCAAAATGCAAGATCTCACAGTGATATGCAGTTTAAACTTATCTCTCTTCTGTCTCGAAATCCAATGGAAACGCCCCAAATCTCATTTGTATAGTGTTTTCTTACTGTCTCTTGTATGGATGATGGGCATTTTTTATTATTGCTTACGCAATTGCACTAATTTTTGTGCAATTAGCTGTTTCTCGTTTCATGTATATACTATACCATGCCATAAAATACACATTGATCCTTAGTTTCACTGTTGCATTAACCACCGCTTACTTGAATCAAAAGAAAAGTATTCAGTATTCGCTAAAATGCTATGATTTTATTATTCCAGGATGAATGGGTGATATCCAGGGTCTTTCAGAAGAGTGGCTCTGTCAATGGTGCCACTAGCAGCACTGGCGGAGGAGCCAAGAAGACCCGAATGAGCGCCTCCATCGCTTTCTGCCAAGAACTGAGCTCTCCTTACTCAGTCACCCTCCCACCCCTCCTTGATCCCACCACAACAGCTACTGCCACAACCGGCACTACCTTTACTGACCGTGACAGCTGCTCCTTCGACAGCCATACCCAATCTGAGCACGTGTCCTGTTTCTCCACCGTTGCTGCTGCGGCTACCTCTGCTGCTGTCACCGCCACCATTTCTATCAACCCTCCTGCCTACCACCCTGGTTTCGACCTTGCATTGCCACCTCCACCCCAAATGACCAACAACACTTTTGATTCAATCGCAAGGTATTCAAGAAATGTGGATGTTTCAGTGTTTCCAAGCTTGAGGTCTCTTCAGGAGAATTTGCAGCTCCCTTTCTTTTTCTCCCAGCCAACATTGGCGGCACCACCACTTCACGGTGGTTCATCTGTTAACTGGGGGGCTGTATCCGAGGAGGGTAACAATGGTTCCGGTGCTGGTGGCAAGATATCACTGGGTCCTACCGAGCTTGATTGCATGTGGACTTACTAATTAGAACTTTAGAAAATGAGTTTCCCGTTTGTGTTTGAACTTCATTATAATTTCTGAGTATGTTGTCATTAGGAGTAGACATGGAAAAGGACTGCTGATCATGATTAAATGTCAGCTTAGACTTCAATTTCTTATCTGTAATATAGTGCTTTATTACTGTTAATTAATCTTAGTTTTTGCTGCTTAGATGAAAGTGACTTATCCACAACTGATAAGTATGTTTCAAATATGCTGTGATCACAACAGTCAATTCTTCCCCCCCCCCTCCCGAAATTTTTTCTGGGCAAATCTAATTTTCTTATCCTGGATAAGATTCATGTCTGGTTTTTGGGTTTCTAGGAAAATGACTCGTTGTTTCATCAAACAAATAAAACCCATAAACATCCATATTCGAAATGGAAATATTTTGCTGTTTTTTCTCTTGCATTAAAAGTTACTCCCAAATGAAAGGGATGTCTATCTAATAACATTAAATGGGCAGTTGAGTTAGGTGTGAAAAATTGGGGTCTCCCAAATCTCTCCATTTCTATCGAGATTCAGCTTCTCTGATCACATGGGGGGTGGGAGGCTCTCAGCTATGTATTAAGTGTTGGTATATAAGAACGACCTCTTAGCCCTATTTGTCATCCTCTACTTGTGGAAGGGACAAATTTATTACTCTCCTGTTAACATTGTACTCTTTCATGTCAACATAATATTGGAAGGTAAAGGGACCATTTAGGCAGGGCATTGATTACTTTGTGAGCTACATAAAATATGTTGTCTCAACATTTTTCCTTTGCACCATCATTTCTCTTATTGACTTCTTAGTTATTGAAGTACTACAAAATAATGCAGAGAGTAAATACTCCCATGTACGTCATTTTTGTTTATTTTTAGATGATTATGGTAGGTAGAATTAATATAGCTACTTTTGTTGTAGCTTGATTGTGCTCATACAAAACAAAAAAAAAAACTTTTAATAACTTGTTTCTGGTTTTTTTAACATTCAAATTTATACATGTCGAAACTCATGAGATTTATCAATAATAGTGTAATTTTTTAGTTGAAAAAAAATTCTTTGGCTTGAACATTCAAATTAAATACGATTTATTTGTATAAAAAATTGTAATTAAGATAATACTAAGGGAGATAACTGTCTCTCACTTCATAATTCCAACTTTTTTCCCTATCCAAAGTTTTGGAGCATGTATCAAATCAAAACCATTATTTGGCACACTTTAAATAGCATTTTTATTCTGGTATTGAAGAAATTCGCACTTCTGTTTTTTTTTTTTTTGTTGAAATTAATAAATATATGAAGTACATAGTTCTTAATTATATATTGGTACATGTCCTGCAATATATTATATATGTCGGCAAAAAAAAGAAACAAGTATATTTCATCAGAAACTAAATTAATTATGTAAACTTGAATAATAAATGGCATTGGCTGTCAGTCCAGTAGCAAAAATGAAAAAAAAAAATCATTAATATAGTATTCTTGAAGACAAAGATGGACTATTACAGATTTTCCACTGACAACATATTGGCTCATGTCCTTTGGAGATGAAAATAAATTTCAAATATGTATTTATTTTGTTACCTCATAAATTTTTTTGTTTGGGTTTTTTATAAATTTGAAACTGAATTGATATCTTTTACGTTGGTAGAGACAAATATTAAAGCCATTTATTGTATATTGTTAGTATTATAATTTTTTTAAAAAAAGAGTGTTACTCGGATATCTACTACTCAAAGGGTTTTTTTTTTTTTTTTTACATTTTTTAATTTTCTTGTCAAGTGCAAGTTGTTTAAGAACATACTTTTTCTATTAAACTTTTTGTTTATTAAGATCACTACTACGACTTCAGATTTTGTTATAAAATAAAAACAAACATAAACCATCAATTAAAGATTGTATTGATGCTAATACCAAAAAAAAAAAAAAAATACTTTTTAATTTAAAGTAAAATATAATAGAAATAAATAGACATTTCAATCTAACAAAAATTTAAAATTTCTAACTTGAAGATCTTAAAATATTTTAATATTGAAGAGAATAAACTAGGAGTGAATTTATGAGATAAAAAATAAATTAATCTCCATCTCTTTTTGAAAATTTTAAATGGATATTAGTACAAGATTTCAAGAATAAATGCGATTCTTCGGTTTTATTTAACTGCTTCAAATTCTTCTTCTCTTGACCATATATAGCAAACTCAAATAGATTTTGTGGATTTTGTGGTAAAGCTAGTTAAATATGATCCTCCCATAAAAGAAATATTTATAATATACAGGCTTAATGTTTCCTAACAGGTTTGCTCTAAGGCTTGTTAAATATGATCCTCACACAAAAAAGTTATTTGTAAAATACAAATACTTAATGTTTCCAAATGGAATGGCTTTAAGCAAAAACAACTCCTTTCTAATAATAACTCGTATTAGAATTTTGAAGTTCAAAGGTAGAGATAAGCAAAAAAGCCATATTCCAAAAATATTTATCCACTTAACCAGAATCTCAAATAATATAAAGAGAAAGAAAAAAAAAAGAGAACTATATGTAACCTTAAAAGGCAAGGCATCAGCCTAAATTTTGGAACCTAATTGTTTGTTCTATCCCTAAACTTGAACTTTATAAGTAAAAAAAACGAGTTCTCATTTAATCCATTCTAAGTCTTTATATATAACTGTTAATTATCCTCCAACATCTCAAACAATATAAAAAAAAATGAATGTATTGAGTTGTATGAGGGTAAATTCATATATACAATTATTGCTTGATGGCTAAAATTAGTTTAAAGTAGCAATTGACATATACTTATATATACTTGCAAAGAATATAAAAGATGTGATAACCAGCTCAGAACACAAAGATAATATGTTAGAGCAGTTGGTAGTTGAAGCATGTGGATGCTAAGTTCTACTGTTTGCTTTTTCTTTTCTAATTTCTTGTCATGCATTCTATTTAGTCTACAGACAATGTTTGCATGATCCAAATCCATCATCCAAGAATTGTGATATTAATAATCTTGTCATAAAAGATAATTAAAAACCTTATAATTTTCTCTCAACATAGAATATGCATATGTACCAGTCTATATTACACGGGTGAATCTAGGAGACGGCAAGGGTCATGACCCCCAAAATTTTTTGATAATATTATCCTACAGTACTTAAACTCATTAATTATATAGGACTCGAACCCTTTTTTTTAATTCGATTAACTATTTAAAGACTTTGCTGGCTTTATCCTCTACGTCTATATATGTACAAATACATTAATGTACGTATAATATTACAAATAAAATAATGCTATTTGATTCAACGATTACACTATCTGATTACTTATAAATGGATTGAAATAATAAATTGTTATAATTTATAGGGTATCTATTTCTGGTGAGTGGTACGTAGTTAGTTTATCACTTGTTGCGTCAAAATAGGCTTTTCTCACTAACAATTAAATGGTAGGTACTTTTTCACCGAGCACGGTGTATCCCCAATCTACTTTTGCTGGACACAGCCTAGTCAATTGGCAACTTGGATTTAAATATTGCAAGTGATAATAATAGATAGGTGAGATACATTGACATAAATTGTAAGTTCAATGCTATAACTTTTGGTAAACAAGAGTAAGAGGGAAGGAACTGAATTATTTAATGTTTTAATAATGGGATAGGTGATGGAATTCATTGGATGTCTGATTTCCGATTCAAATGGTTGGACCTGTCAATCCCATTGCATTATTATTAAATTACTTTAGGGAACAAATTTTATCATTTAATATGTACTCATTAATGAATAGATTTTATACATTATATTTGATTCATTATCAATATATAAATTTTATATATTATTAGTGAATTAGATTATGATAATTTATTAATAAACAAATATCAACTCTTAAAATAAATACACAAAAATTAATATTTTTTGTATAAAAATTAATATATAAATTAATAAACAAATATCAACTCTTATACATTATTAGTGTATAAAAATTAATATATAAATTTTATACACTATTAGTGAATTAGACAATAATAATTTATTAATAAACAAATATCAACCCTTAAAATAAATACACAAAAATTAATATATATTTTTTAAAATTTACTCATTAATGATGTGTTATTATCTTATTCACTTTATTAATAAAGTAACATTATCTTATCCATTCATCGTATAAAATATATACCAAGACCGTATATAAAATATATATTGATAATTTATCAAATCTAAATTCATATATTAAATATGATAAATAACTAGCATACTAAATAAATTATTAAAATTCCATTCAAACTAATTCATTTAATCTTATTAATTAAGTATTACATAATTTATTAAAATCTCAATTTGAGACATGTCATCCATTTCTAATTGAATGATAAGTTGATTTGCTGATTTGATTATTACAAAATGTTACAATGCGTATCAATCCTTAAAAAAAAAAAACAATAAAGAAGAGTAAAAAAAAAAAGTAAAAAAGTTAGGAATTATTATTCAATTGGTAGATTTCTCCCAACTTTTTCGATTTGACAGTTCTCCTCCGACTTTTATCATCATTAGCTAATGAAATTCATAAAAGAAAAATGCAATATTGCATTGCTTATTCCCGAGCTACAAGTAATACTAAATACTAATGACAAAAATGTAAGGTCATCAACTTGATTGCCTGAATCGTTTTCAACATTATTTCAGAGATATACACATACATATAGTACAAATCCATGCAGAAATTAAGGCATTTCGACAGGTCGAAAGCACCAACAAAATCTTTTGGTTACATGGAACCCAGTTTTTGCTATGGCCCCTTGACTTGATTTGCATGAAAACAGCAAAAGCACGCCAATGTACCAAATTTGTGTTAAGCTTAGGAGATTATGACTACTCTTGAGTGGGCACTCAAAGCATTAAAAGCTGGGACTTGGATGTTTTTGTAAAGGACTAAAGGAAGATGCGAATCATGAGGGCTTTGAAAGTACAGTTTGTTTTTTTCTTGTCTCTAGGTTTTGGTTCTTTCCAAGATCAGAAAATTAAAAGTATAGTTTGTTTTTATTTGATAATTCATGTATATTTGTTTGTTTATTTTG